ATAACTGCAGATACAGATATTGCTAACGTATTCAATAACTATTTTGTTTTAGTGGGAGAGGAACTGGCAACTAAAATAAATAAACCTAACCCAATATTCCATCTAAAGTAATCATACAAAATTCAATTTTTCTTGAACCAGTTACAGAAACTGAAACAGAATATACCATTTACAGCCTAAAAAATAAAAAGAGTCCAGGTTTAGATGGCATACGATCAGAGGTACACAAAAACATTGCACCTGTAATTAGAAAACCACTAACATTTTTAACAAATTTGATAATTGAATCTGGGGTTTTCCCAGACTCTTACAACATAGGAATAATGACACCGATTCATAAATCTGGCGACATATGTAATACAATTAGTTTTTTCAACAAAAATAGACTTATACATGAAAATCAATTTGGATTTCAAAATAATAAATCTACTCAAGACGCGGTTGCCTTGTTGACTTCAAAAATTCATAAATTATTAGAACAAAGCAAATATACATTATGCATACTCCTAGACTAGCAAGAGCGTTCGATACCGTGAATCACTCGCTGCTATTAGAAACTTTATACGATGCAGGAATTAGAGGAAACGCTCAAAATCTTATGAGAAGTTACCTGTTTTACATAAAGCAATATGTTCAAATAAATGATGCCATACGTTCAGAAAAAACTGTGACTTATGGTGTACCAAAAGGGACAGTTTTAGGCCCGTTATTTTTTACTGTGTATATCAATAACCTACTTAGCTTAAAGTCGCAAGGCACAATAATATGTTTTGAAGATGACACAGCGATATTTTATTCTTATAACAATTCCTGGGATAATCTTACAGAGATTGTTGAAAATGACATTATTTTAATTTCAGATTGGTTTAGACACAAATATCTAACAATCAATTTTCAGAAAACCAAGTAAATGCCGTTCACAAACATTAAAAATAAATTACCGTTTTATTTTTCACAGCCACCTATGCGTTATAGACTTATTTTGCATTGAAATGAAAATAGGTTGATATGCTGTAATTGCAACATGTGTTATTTTTATGCTGCAAATTTGATTAGGGAGTGATAAAGTTGGTGTTTTCTACTATATATTATCAAAATATTCATTGTTAATATTTTAAACCTATAACACCCTGCTACATTTTTATTATTTGTGTTTGATAAGAAAAAAACTAAGATTTCAATAGTTGGGCCAACTGAACTGGGAAGGGGCTCGTATTTATTTTCAATAAACTGTAATACTTTATACGTGAATAAACTTATATTATTATTATAGCTGTTTAGCTTACTTAGGGCACAATAGGCACTGCCTAACTTGCTCCACACTTGGTCGGCCTGCTTATTCCATGCTAATGACGAGTCTATTTTGCATCCAAGATACTTCACAAATAAGTTACTATGTTTAGCAGATCGGACCTTTCCTGGCTTTTTTGGTTCTTACAGACAAAGGAACTTTTATGTATTCCTCTAAAAATTGACAAACCATCATAGACAATACTTGTGCTGCCAAGTCCTCCAAAAGCAGTGTGTGAACGACAAGCATCACAACGGAACAAAATGAAGATATGTATTTCTGTACGTAGCGCCATTAAGGTCAGATTCCCTAGGAAGCAGGTTCATAAATACAGGAACCTGTGAAAGGTAAAACCGGCTGAATGGCTGATCTAGCTAGATGGCTCAAATCAAATCTCCAAATTCTGCCTCTCGCAGCGAGCCAGATAGACCGTTCGAATTTTAATAACAGATATTATTCACGGAATCGATTGCGTTCAGTCGAACTAGTTCTGATAGGCTGCCCGCAAAAGGAAATACCAATTATACTCGCCCGTTCTCCTACGAATTTCCCAGGAAAATTTAATTCCTGCTATTAAAAGGAAATAGATAAATGAAACCCAATGCGGCCATTCAGAGCAAAGGACGTGAGCTGAGAACAGAATTTTAACCTATAGAGTGAAAAGGATTAAGGCTTTTAGGCGGAATTGAGATACTTTGGTGACGCGAAGTAGGAAATAAATACGGATTACGGGTCCGGATTAAACGCTATTCGGGGTCCTTCTCAAACGGATGCCCTGTCGAGGAAGAAGCTGGAATCCTTCGGGTTGCGGAATGTGAAGGCTTCATTTATTGGAATCAGTAGCTGTTGGAGTTCGAATGGTTGTGTTCAATAGAACAGTGGCATAGTGGTGGACGCTATGAGTGTACCAATCAACCCTTGTGAACTGCACGTCTTTAAACACGTTGAGCACGGTGTGGCATTAAAGTAATGCCTCACCGACTGGGTAATCTAGGGACGGTGAGACCTGACAATAACGTCTCATGTTAAATATTGAATAAGGTGAAGGTGTGGTTCGGTGTAGTGTCTCGCTATAATGCCAAATGAATGGGAAACGATAGTTAGCCGTCTATACGAACGTTTTCTGTTATCCGGCTGTGGATATTTGACTAAAATACTATGTAATAGATAGCATACAATTTTATTTCAATTTAGAAAATATAGTTACAGTAAATATAACAAAATGAAATGCAATAATATAAAATAAACGTATATTCTACAGCTAATAAGTGCAAATCAACTTATATAATGTGGTTTAAAAATAATATAATGGTATTTAAAATGTTAGTCCAATTTCTCAGCATGATGGGTTTCAAAAAAACTCGGGATACAATAGCTCTTGTTACAAGGAGTGCACTGAAATTTAGTACTCGGCGTTTTGCTTTGCGCCTCTTTTCGACCAAATTCCTCCTTAGCTTTGGCATAACATTTCACACATCTATTTTTCGCATGCTCTTGAAGCTCATGTTTTGTATTTCTTTGATTTGGTTCATTAGGTTTGCTATTTACACCTAGAAGTGATAATGCTAAAAGCTCCCTGAATTCCGTAATTTGAATTTTATTTTGTGTTACTTCTTTATAACAAATAAATGCATTGACCAATGTAGAACCAAAAATTAATTCAATTGCTAGTTTCCGGTACCATTTGTTGCCCCTTCTAAGGCAATGTGAATAGGTTTTTAGCTGATCTGGCAAGTCAATATAAGCTTTCGATTTATTGTAATCAACTATAGCTTGCGGTTTTTCAATTTCTTTTCCTGATGAACTTTGATTATTTCATCCGTGTGTACTGTGGTCAATAGTAACACATCACGAGTATCTTTCCATTTGAGCATTACAATGCCGGTACCGCTCTCCTGACCTATTACTTCATATTTTTTCAATTTTTTATTCAATACTTCTTTTGGGTTTCCTTTTCTATTGGACCTCACTGCTCCTACGAGATGCGTTTTTCTTTGTAACAATTGGGTAGCCAATGAAACACTGGTATAATAATTCTCAGTGTAAAGTATCCGTCCAGTGTCTAAAAGCTCACTCATCAAAGACATAACAACGTTAGATGATGCATTGAATCCACCTGTGTTATCAAGTCCACAGTATATTTTCAAATTAAATGTATAACCTCCGGCAGTACATAACTTATACAATTTTATTCCAAATTTATTTTTCTTATTTTTTATATATTGCCTGAATCTAAGGCGACCACGGAATGGGACGAGGGTTTCATCAATGCATACATCCGACCCTGTTTTGATGATCATTTGAAATCTATCCAATAATTTGTTCACTAAAGGTGTCAGTTTTCGAAGTCTGTCGTTTGCATAACTTTCATCTTCGTTATTGTTGAAATGCTACATTTTCAATAATTGGTCAAACCTATCTCGGGCCATGAGTTCTTTTACTTTGTTTATGTATAAAATGTTAATGCTCCAATAAGCTTTTAGACGTGGAAGTTTCATAAGTCCCATCCACAATATAATTCCAAGAAAATTTTCCATTTCTTGGCTTGTAGTAGGAACCCATTTTTTGACATGTCCTTTGGCCGTCGGTTTTTCCTTTAGTACTTGCTCAGCATAGAGGTTTGTTTGATATACCATATATTCTATTATCTCATCAGTAATAAATAATTTGAAAAAATCATAGGGCTCCTTGTCATAATTTTCATAAAATTCAGGCTTTATTCCAATATCAGCTTCAGCAAAACCAAAATGTTTGAGTGATGAACCGTCAACAGGACCCCAGTTTATATTGTCACCAGAATCAGGAGTCTGCATTTCTTCATCTTCGCTTTCAATTGCATATTGAGAAATGACATCTTCTGTTACATTTTGAATCTGAAACAAAATCGTTCAAATCCTCGAGAATATTTTATTTTTATGAATCATTCCAAATGTGGAAAAAGTGAGTATTATTGTCAATGTAAAAAAGTAATAACGTGAAATTTTTCCTGTGGATGTCAAAAAACCTGATCTAAAAAAACTGCCCATATGTAAATCTGTCGTGTGACAGCAGAACCTAGTAAGTCGACTTACTAGGTTTTACATTTTTACGTCATTTTTGAAAAGCCCGTAAAAAGTTCTACTAGTTGAATTTTTTTCTCTCGCTCAGACGCACTCTAAATCGTATATCTTTGTCTCATGTTTCCTAGTAAGTCATCAGAACAGCATTTAAAAAATCAACAAATGATGGCATGTCTACATGCTACGTTTTGAAGATTTTTTTTTGTAGGAAATTTGGCGGGAGACTCCGTCATAAACGCACTTGCTAGTTTTTGCTAAATTTTCATGCCATGATTTCAAGCCGATTGAGTGTAGGCACGCATGCATGCTACAGCGTTTCCGCAGTCATGTTCCAACTGGCATAGAGTCTGGATCGGTGAGGACAGTCGCGAATTAGTTTAACGTTAGTACTGTAGTTAATATCCAGAATATGTCGAGAGGAAAATTCATAACGAGTTTATGCATTACAGAGAGGTGAGTGCAAGCATCATACATTACATATAAGCCAAATGAAATATTAACTCAGGAGTAACATTGCAGTTTGATGTTTTTTTTTCAGTAAAATAAAAGATTATAATTACTACAAACAAAAAGCTAATTCTTGCAATACGGTTTTCGTATTTGAAATATATATATTCAAACCGCTGACCTCTATTTATTTTATCTTTCAGAAATGAACCTCTCGAAGAGCGTCAGCAACATGATGAAGAACCTATATCAGATTATGACGATTCTGATGCAGACCCAAATTATGAGCCGTCAGTATCCCCTAGAAGGAAAAAAATTAAATTTTCGGACTTTGATGACGTATCGCTTGCGCCCCTCAAAAACAGGCAGCCTTTGAAAAAAGTCAACGAGAATGTGAATGCAAACTGCAGAGTTTCCCAAGAAAGGCCAGACAAGCAAGAAAAGCACCCCCTACTGCTATCATGCCATAATAATTGCAGGCAGAGATGTAGCTCAAAAGCAATGATGAGAAGTTTAGAGAATTGATAAGAACGAAATTCTGGAGACTCAGCTTTGGCGAGCGTAGACTTTTTTTGGATGCTCATATCAAACAATTTGAAATCAAAGTAAGGCGGCAAGAGGCTCAGCGCTCTTCCAGGAATGTTTCTCTGAAATATTTTCTACCCCTTCCAGTGGAAACTGAAGCTAAATTTGAAAAAATACAAGTGTGCAAAACAATGTTTTTGCATACTTTAGGACTTAAAACAGATGGTATGATAACTTGCCATATACATTCCAAAAAGCGAAGTGTAGAAGGAATTGCACAAACAGTGGATGAAAGGGGGTTAGTTATTAGAGGCATGCTAGAAGAACAAAAAATGAGAACAGAGGAAATTGTCATAAAGCATATAAACTCATTCAATCCGGTAGTATCTCACTACAATTTAAAGCACACCCCGAATAGACGATTCTTGCCACCTGACTTGACCATTAAATACATGTGGCAAGACTTCTGTAATCTACAGAAAATTTCATATGATCTATACAGAAGAATTTTTGAAAAACAAAATATTGGGTTTAAAAAGCCATCCCAAGACGAATGCGCTCAGTGTCTAAAACATAAAGTTCACATTATTCGCCAATGCGACGCAAGTAGTTGCAAGATTTGTTGTCAATTCGAAAACCACAAAAAAAGTTATACGGAAGCAAGACAGCACTATGAAAATGACTCCAATCAAGAGGTAATGCAAGATGAGAAGGTCTATGCTGTAGATATGCAGAAAGTCTTACTCTTGCCCAAAATGTCAACCAAGGAATCTTTTTTTGTTTCAAGGTACTTCGTTTATAATTATATATAATTGTATTAAACTTTTATATACTTCTATATTTGTTGTTGCAGGTTGGTCGTATTCAATGAGACGTTTGCGTCACTTCATAAGGACGGAAATATTTGCGTGATGTGGCATGAGGCTATAAGAGGCAGGTCCGCGACGGATGTTGCATCGGCATACTACAACGTAATAAAAAATTCAGACAATGTTACCAAAAAATTTACATTCTGGGTAGACAACTGTTCTGCTCAGAACAAGAATTGGACACTATATTCTGCTTTTGCGACTTTTGTAAATTGTGAATGGGGTCCAGAAGAGATCACCCTAAAATATTTTGAACCAGGCCATTCATTTATGGCTGCGGATTCGGTTCATGGCCGAATCAGCACAGAAATGAAAAAACACCCAAACATTTATGATTTTGAACAGCTTCTGAAAATAATTGAGCAGTCCTCAAAAAAACTAAATGTTTGCCTATAAATAATTTTGATTTTTCCTCTTTGAAGATGGAAGCAATAATATACCTCTTCTTGAAAAAATTAAGCTCGCTCAGTTTCGCAAAGGATGCAGACACTTGTTTTATAAAGAATTCCATAATGAAACTGTCTTTCAGGAAGTCGAGTTTTTGAAAAAAAAAGTTGATCTCAAATTCCCTATACATCCTTTTGTCGAGCCACTGGGATTGAACTCAGAAAAAAGAGAAACAATTTTAAAAAAATTGGTACCATCCTTCAAAGATGAAAGAAAGAAACTATTTTGGCAGTTTTTGCCATCTAATGATAATTCCAAAGACTTATGTGTGGTATCAGAGGCTTAGCGCTTAAGTTCTTGTTCTTCTTGTATGTAGACTTGCTGTTTTATGTTCCACCGTTTTTCATTCAAATGTTTATTTTCCAGTTAGTAAGTAGATATGTTACTTTTTGTGTTCGCCTTCGCACATAAATTATATCAAATAAAACCTTAGTAAGTACACTTACAATATCTCTTTTTTTTTATTTTCTCTAGTCGAAATTCTGTAAAAATCAGTAAGTTGACTTACCATTTTCTGCTAAAGTATCTTAATTTAATATCGAAAAAGAAACCATGAAAAAAAAAACGTAAGTCACTTTTCTACCATAAACAAAACTATCACATGAATAAAATTGATGCTATCGAATTTAGCAAGTTACATAACCCTTCAGACAAATTTTTTAATATTCATAAAACTTAAACTTTTCGAAAGCCGAATGTTTATTGAAAATATGTTATTTCTCAAACCTGATAAAAAGTGACTTACTAGGTTCTGCTGTCACACGACAGAAATATTCCAAGTAATAATAAAGTAAAGGCAATTTGTGAAAAATCTGCCGAAAAATCAATAAATAAAAAACTTTTTCAGCGGGAGTCGGAATTTGAGAATACTCTGTCATTTTTTTTTATAAAATCCCTCTCCCAACCAGGCAAAATATGACTTATTACCACTTATTTACTAATTTGTTCAGGGAAGACGTGCATACTACTAAATAACGATGTCTTTATGATTACCGTGTCTTCCGCATACACGCTTTGTAGTATATGGACCTGCTGCATTGTCTCCCAAGTCTTTGATTGAAGTTTTACGTCTCTTTGCACGCTCCACTAAAATATCGTTGTCACTGGATGTCTCTTCGTCTGACTTAGGTTTATATTCATCTGATAAATATACGTCCCCAAATTCACTTATATTGCTCTCATCATCGGACATACACTCTTCCCACAGCTTCTGTAATGCTGCTTGCTCACGTTCGTAACTACCCATTTTTATCTAATGCTTACCCTTCCACGTAAACAGAGCTAATAAATTAGCATCACGCCGAAATGCGCTCAACACCAGTAACATAATAATACAAGATTAGACCTGCAAAACATGGCATCACGTATGTCTCACCGTCCATACGCACTGGTTTGAAGGTAAAGACGGCGAGACATAACTATGATGTCACGTGTAATATATTTTTTTAAATATCAAAGAAAGTCATATTTGCAAATAAAACAATATATATTACACATTAAAGACTTAATTTCACCGAAAGAAACACAAAAAAAATCCCGTCCCTGAGACTAAATTTTTGGCACTCTACATCCGTACTCAACGTGTTAAGTCCCGTCTCATGAGAATTTTGACTTCCCAGCCTACTGGCGAGGAAGTATTGTGATCGTGAAAAAATTCGAAAATGAGATATTATGTTTTTTTGATGGCTTTCCGAATCTGCTAGCACGCTTATGTGTCACTATTTAACTTACAGAACACAATATGTAGAAACAGATAAAGGTATGTCCTCCAAAGATGTCATCCCATCGGGTATTCCACAAGGCTTCATTTTAGGACCTCTGATTTTTATTCTTATACCTCAAACCTCTCCGAAGTTGTCAGGTACATTTGTATCCTGATGATATTCAGCTTTATTTTCATTTCAATCCTAACGAGAAACGTGATGCATTGGCCATTATTAATCGAGGTATTGAAAGATTAGTTGTATTTTCGGAAAATCATGGTCTACAGATTAAAGCAAGCAAATCACAACCCACGTTATTTGGCAGATTGAAAGACAACATTGATCTCCCTTTTCATGTCAAAATAAAAAGTGAATCTATACCTTGTTCTACCCCTCTGAGAAATTTGAGAGTAGAATTTGACTCGTATCTAAGATTTAAGCCTTATATTAATAAATGTATCCAGAAAGCTTGTGCTTCTCTAAAAGTTCTATATGCTCATGGATAGGTCCTCCCTGTTAAACTTAAAATATTGCTTTGTAAAGTACTAAAACTGAGCCATTTTAATTTTTGTAACAGCGTTTATGGATTTTGTTTAGACAAGATTGACATGGATCGAATTGAACGTGTACAGAAGTCCTGCTTACGACTTATTTATGGTATACGTAAGTTTGAAAGAGTTTCACATAAGTTGCTTGTTGCAAACTGGTTGAATATGCGATGTCGATGTGAGTTGCATGCAAGTAATCTTTTTTATAAAATTATGTTTTTTACGCAACCACCATATTTATCCAACAGAATAACTTTTCGCACCTTAAATTTGCGTTTTAGGGGCTACATATCACCTCCTCCTCATCAAACTTCTCTTTTTTCCAGATCTTTCACATTCAACATTTACCGGCTTTACAATCAAATTCCTAATGACTTTAAAATTCTGCATCCAAACCAGTTTAAAATCAAATATAAAAAATTTATTTTTTATAAATACTTCAGCGCACATTAATGTAATGAGACACAGGCGACCAAACTAATGAAAAAGAATGTTTTTTTGTACTATAACTATTATTATAAATCTATTATTTGAGGCTTTCTAAGGTAGATCGTAGTCATTGTCGTCTAGACCAGTTAAGTGAAAAATTAAAGCTTCCGCCTTTTGTTGGGTACTTCGACAAAATTTAAGCAAAGAGGACTCTTTATACTTTTTTTGATTCTCTCTAGCTTTCAATGGACTTTGCCATTATCATCAGGAGCTGCAATTACATTGATAACAGTAGCAACAATAGTGTAAAATGAATTTAAATTGACTTAACTTACAGTAGTATGGTACATAGTATATATACAGGGTTATCCAAATTAAGTGACCACCATTAGTAACTTTGTTATTAGTGAAAATACAAAGTTGTTTGAATTAGCAAACTAGTAGCATTTTTAACGCTGGTAAAAATAAGAAATAAAAAAAAACAATTGAGAGTCGTTATTTTGATTTTTTTCAGTAAAATAACATTTTTTTAAATGGAAACCACTGTATATTATATTTTTTTCTGTTAAAGCATCAAATTTTAAACAAAAAAGCTTACAATAACTTTTCTCCTAGGTTACAAATTTTTGAAGTTATGGCCTCCAATCTGAAACAATTAAATTGTATCGACAAACTTTATTTTCAACATCAACTTATAATCTTACAAAATACAATAACAATTTTTTTTAAAGAAGATGCTCGAAAACACCACCTTGTTCTTCAATACATTTTTGGGCACGTTTTTCAACTGCTGGAACTGTCTTAAGTATGGTCCTACCATCTATCTGGGTTATCTTTTCCCTAACTGCAGTCTTTAACGCGTCAAGGTTATCGTACCTTCGCTTGTAAATTTGGTTCTTTAAGTAACCCCACAAGAAGTAATCAATTGGGTTTATATCTGGTGATCTGGGAGGCCACTGTATTGGGCCATTTGTTCCTATCTACTGATCATTAAAAGTAGTACTTAGAAAATGATAAGTACCTCTGGAGTTACTTATAAGATCCAATTCGTCTAAGAAATTAGTCAGAATTTCTGACATAAATTCCACTTATCTTTCACCAGTTAGGGTTCCCTCATAAAAGAACGGGCCAACAATTTTTGAACCAATTATACCGCACCAAACGTTGAAACTGAAACGGACTTGTGGGCCTCTTGGATGTACTAACAAAAGATTTTCTCTTGACCAATAATGGTGGTTTTTTCTATTAAACATTCCAGAATTTGAAAAATTTGATTCATCTGTCCATAAAAGGTAACGAAAGTTATTTACATTTTGGCGACAGAAGCTAAGATACCAATGGCAAAAAACAAGTCTTCTCTCTGGATCCCCTGCCAAAAGCGTTTGAACTGGTCGGTACTTATACGGAATAAATTTGTATTTTTTTAAAATCCTTTGAACAGTACCATAACTGAAATTAGAGTCCTTGAGAATATCTGCTATTGAATTCTCACGATAAGCTTCAAAATATCCAATAACTGCAATTTCCGTGGCCTCGCTTATTATGAATTCTTTTTTTGCCCTTGTTTTAGCAAAACATTTTCGTTGCCCCTAAATTTTCGATAAAGTCTCAGAAAATATCGTTCATACGGTTGAATGCGAGCGGGATATAATTCACTGTAGTATTCTCTTGCTCTCAAGGAGGATTTTCTGCACACTAAATAGCATTCTAACATATCACACTTTTCTTCATGGGAGAACATTTTTCTTTAAATTAATGACACAATAAAGCTTATAAACAAGTATTTACACTAATGGATGACATTATTTGATTTTATCATTGTTTTCCATAGCCTTCTAGTTGCGAGTATGTCCAGTTTCACAATTTGTCGCTTATCTTAATGCTGTCAAATCGCGAACGCCATGTTGTTTTCATAGCCGTCTTAATATTATAATACTGCAAATAATTAAAAATATTTATCGTTATTTTGACTTTATTTTTGACTTTAGCGGAAAAGTCATTATGAACTTTTTTGTTTAAAATTTGATGCTTTAACAGAAAAAATATAATATACAGGGGTTTCCATTTAAAAAAATGTTATTTTACTGAAAAAAATCAAAATAACGACTCTCAATTGTTTTTTTTTATTTCTCATTTTTACCAGCGTTAAAAATGCTACTAGTTTGCTAATTTAAACAACTTTGTATTTTTACTAATAACAAAGTTACCAATGGTGGACACTTAATTTGGATAACCCTGTATATATATATATATATATATAACTTGAGAC